TGAATATAAGTATGAATATATCAATATAACAACCAAACAGATCTTGCAATGAAGGTATCCTAAGTTCATGATTTCTCTGGCCCTTTGATCACCAAAGCAGCAAAATGAGTGCCCCATCGAAGCCTCCGGGACACTCCTCCCGAATCACGGCCATGGAGGATGCTGAGACACCGGGGTGAACTAAGTAGGGGGAGAAACTGATGGTCAAAGTCAGATGTCTTCTACTGAGTAGAGGGGAACACTTGGACGTTGACAAGCACCCCCTGAGGTGTGTCAGTGCTAGGGGAAAGGCCCCAGAGCAAAAGGAGGAACGTGTGAGGCAATCCGCGTGTGCGGAAGGACCACGTGCACCAAAACACTGCCAGCGCGATGGCAAGAAATGCAGAAACCCGATGCAAGGCTCGTGGCCCCAGTAGATCGATGACCAAACAGATAGAGCACGAGAAGAGGGTTTGATAGAGGAAGGGCCAAGCCAACCCCGGTTCAGGTTACTCAAGAATAACAAACAGGACCGTCCCACACTTGTACGGTGCTCGTGAACACTAGTCAGCTGGACAGACTCCTGCTTGATTCGAAGACCCCGAGTTCGCTCAGCCAGGCAGAAGCTCGTTTGAGCTAAGCCAGGACCAGGACGGGAGGACGGTCCAGCTGTCGGGTCGCCATTGTGACAAGCTGACGGCGTTCACACCTTTTTCTACATCTAGGATGGCAAAGTCTTGAAGTGTTTATCTTTTAGAAAGAAACGCCTTGGAATCACCGCGTTTCTGCACAAAAGTAAGCCGTTTCCTTCACCAATTTTTCCATGGAGGCCACCAGTGAGAAGTAGTGAGATGCTGTAGTTCAACTCGTATGCGGTATGTACAAAGTGGCGCTCTGGGTTGAACGATTTGCTTCCCCCCCGGGGGACAGGCCTTGTGTAGTTGCCACCAATGTGGTCAAGAAGGACCACGAGTGGAGCAAAAAATAAGGAAGAAGTTCCAGTTCCACACGACCTGAAGAATTAATTGCAGCGTTTTGAGGGGTTCAGGTGAATCAGGACTGACTTCTTCCAATGACAGTAGCTGGACTGGTTTGCCGTACACTAGTCACTAGGCTTTTCATTTCCTGGGCGACCCAGCTGTGAAACTTCAAGGAATCGCTGCAACCATGTACTGCACTTTGAATCCATGATACAATTGTGGCCCTCCCAAGTCATAGATAGTTTCGCCGTTTGCCAACCCATAGACAGTTGTACCTGGCGGTTTGGAAAAGAGTGCGCACAAATTCCAAGATCGTTTCCACAACCTGGAGCAATGCCAAGCTGCGCCTGAGCTGTGTAGCTGGGTTGGGATCTTACTAGATCCATTTGAGCGGAGTTGCAACCTGACCTGGCGAGCCACTGTCAGAATAGGCTATTGGCTCCGGTGCTGTCTCAGACACACCAGACGAAAGATGCAAAGAACACAGGTGCTGTCTCGCTCCGTGGCAGCTGGGAATTTGCAAATCTGCTGGTGGGAATGTCTCCTGGAGTCTTACGGAGTCAAAAGGGTCTCGTTGACCATTTGTTCAGGGACTAAGCATGGCAGGAGAATGATTTCATGTGGCCACCATTTCCACATTGCCAGTGAATCACGCAATTGCTGAAAGGTTGAGAGGGCACAATCCTAACTGCAGTAGCTTGAAGTGAAGGACAAGACACAGAATAACAATCAGCCCACCTCATTTTTTAGAATATGTTATTAATCTACAGTGTTTTTACATTTATTATATCAGCTATATAAATGTGGGAATGAGCGGGGCCCCACACAAAGAATCTAGGCAAGGAGCATGTGCTCCTGCGCTGGTTTTTGCGTAGGACCGATGCATGGAGATTGAAACACGCTACCGTCGATGGATAAGAATCAGAATCCAAAGATTTCCACCAAACACTGTGTGAAAGGAGGTATTTCATTGGATTTAGATGTATTTTGAGTGGTTAGGGGCTGTCCTAATTTCTCCCAAAGTACCGCAACCGATCAACTTCCTTACTTGTTGTTGGCAGCCGAGAAGGCTGCACCCTTTACAAGAAACTACCATTTGTCTTCTGATTGAATTGTTCTAACCCAAAAGCGACCGTGGAAGCATAGACGAAAACGAAAGCTGTCCAAAACGTGAGTTGGATTATTTCTAGTTAAACACTCACCTATAAATGGCCCAGGGTAGTAGCCCTTGACGCCACCCAAAGTGCCCTCGGTTTCTGACACAATTTGATCCTTAAAGACGGAAGGAACAAACTGCTGTGAGTCTTGACAACTTTGAAACAGCTGTGGTCCTCTATGGCATATGGGAATCCTTGAGAGGATCCGCTTTTGTGACAAGCTGCTGTTGTATTCCAGAGATGAATCTTGAATAATAAATATTGAAGCAGATGCTTGATATTTTTGTGCGGCTGCTCATCCTTTTGCAGCAAACATTTGGCAGTGCATTCACAGATCTTTTCAGGATGCTTTGTTGTACTGGGTTCGTGATACCTCCCTGATCAGGCCTAGCTCGGTTCGAAGACCGAGGGCAGCTTGTCATCCAAGTCTGGAAACGACAGGCGTGTGCGTCCATATCTGAGATCAACCTCGAGCAGTAGGAATCAGAATCTTGGGGAAGATTGAGGGATCTGGTCCTGCTCAGCGATGCGATGGTCTTGTTGGATCGCGCTCCAAACACTTACGACCACTTTTCACAAGCGTTAACCCGTTGTTCTCTTCCAAGCATGCCTCATTCAACTACATGATTTGTCACATTCATATCAGTTCACGACATTGGTGTGTTTCCATCACAATGCCCAGTGTATAGTTCTATAGTTTGTTTATCTTTATCCAAGTGTGATGTCTGTATCCATTCATATCCATCGGAGCTTGGCGGAGCCCTGAGGTGAGCGAGACGCCCAGTGTGTCGATGGTCTGCCCGGTGATGCCCAGCATCCCAGCGCTCCGGGGCATGATCATCATCCGACGATGAGGTCGAAGGTGGGATGAGTTGGATGGAGAAGCAGGTTCCAAGAGGCACTGTATAGATGGTTGAACCATTCCTTGATGGTCCAAGTATGTCTGCAGGGGAGTAGCATGAATGGTTGATCAGCTCCTGGCATTTATCATGAAAAGGTTTTGAGATGTCTTGAGCAACTGGATTGAGTTGTGGAGAGAAGCTCCTCCCTTTGGCATTCATGGACCGGTTGGAATGGGTGAATTGGATTTAACTGGATTGGAATGGATGTGGAGTGGAGGGAAGTGAGGGGGGGGCATGATGAAATGCTTGGGCTTGGCCAGGTGGGTGTTTTGACAGGACGAATGATGGAAGAGCAGAGGGGATGGAGGGGATGCAGTGGATAGAAGGGATGGAGTTGACGAT